GATCATTTTTTCCACAGTGAATTAGTGTGGCACCTAGTCAAAAGACTCCGTGTTGTTAGGATATCAATTCCTTCAAATAGACGTTTACCACGATTCCACTCAAAATCCTAGCAGATTTTTTGGTAGAAACTGACAAACTGATTCTAAAATATTACACATGGAATTACAAAGTAGCCAGAATAGCCAAAAAATTTTTGGAAAAAAAGAAGAAAATTGGAAGACTCACACTACCTAATTTCAAGATGATGAAGCTATACTAATCAAGATAATATGATATTGGCTGTATGATATTAGAAGAGAGTTTAATATCATTAGTCATTAGAGATGATTGACGTAAGTTTAAATTACTAGATATTCCTATACATCTGCTATAATGACTAAAATTTAAAAGACTAATGGAAGTAAGATGTGGAGCAAATGAATTATTACACATTGCTGATGGGAATATATAACGGTAAGATCACTCCAGAAAATACTTCTGCAGTTTTTAAGTTAAATATACACTTCCATATGACTCAGAAATTCTACTTCTATTTACCCAGATGAAACTAAAACATATGCCTCCACAAAAGATTGTACATGAATACTAGAAGCTTTATTCATAATTGTCAAAAACTGGAAACAACCCAGATATACATCAACAGGTGAACAAAACTGTAGTAGTTTTCAGTGGAATGCTACCCAGCAATAAAAAGGAACGAACTGCTAATGAAATACAAGGATAAATCTCAAAAGTATTATACTAAGGAAGACAGTCACAAAAGAGAACATACCTTACAATTCCACTTATATATTTATATATATTCTTGAAAATGTAAAAATGTAGGAGCAGAAATGATTACCAGAGGTTGGGGGTAAGAGAAGAAAACTGACTGTCAAGGGAAATGAGGGAACTTTTGGGGATAAAAGAAATGTTTGTATCTTGATGATAGTGGTGGTTACATAATACACACACGTCAAAACACATCAAACTATATATTTAAAAGGGTGACTATTGTAAATTATATCTCAATAGACCTAACCCTAAAAAAGTATGTAGACTTTTAAAGGCTTTTAATATATATTACCAAATTGCCCTTCCATTAACTTAATTTATTCTCCTACTCCTATTTAATTTACATTCCCAAAGGGACTATACAAGTGCCTGTACCTTCGTCAGCCTCAATATTATCAGATTATTATTTTAAACTATTCCAATTTGATAAGTCCTTTAAAAATAGTGCCTCACCGTTTTGATCCTCTTATCTTTTCACTTTAACAAAGGTGACATTTTTTCATCTGTTTCTAGGATAGCTGTGTTTCTTCTCTGTTTCGTCTGTTCATTCCTTTTGAGCATTGCTTTAAGAAAGCATTTGGTGTTTTTCTTATTTTTTTTAGTGCTTGCTAGATATTCTCAAATATTTGTCATAAATATATTTTCCAGTTTCTCATTTAGCTTTCACTTTTTTCATTTTCTTAATACAAAGACATCTTAAAATTTTAAATCTGTCAATATTTTCTGTTTAGATTTTTTCTCTTGCATTTTTATTTAGAAATTTCTTTACCCATACAGAGACTAAATATTTCACTACATTTTAAAAAATTTTTTATAGACTCAATTTTTTAAGTCTTTAAACCTGTGATGAGCCAGTAGCTACTAGTTATGTTTATTTAGATATTTAGTTCCTCAATATTAATGTTTTCATATTTAAAAACATAAGCCACATTTCTTAAATGGACTTTTTTTAAGAGAAATTTTATATTCAATTTAAGTAAATTTAAAGCAATTTAGGTAAGATTGAGTGGAAAGTACAGTGTGTTCCCATATATCTCCAGTGCCCACACATATAGCCTCTCCCACCATCAATATTCCTCTCCAGAGTGGTACATCTTTTACAACAGATGAACCTACATTGACACATCATTATCACCTGAAGTCTAGAGTTTACTTTAAGGCTGACTCTTGGTGTTGTATATTCTGTGGGTCCTGACAAATATATAATGACATGTACCTATTACAGTATCAAACAGAGTAATTTCATTGCCCTAAAAATCCTTTGTGCTCCATCTATTTATCACTCCCCTCTCTTCAAACCCCAGGCAACCATTAATCTTTTTATCGTCTCCAAAGTTTTGCCCTTTCCAGAATTCTTACAGTTGGCATTATATGGTATAGCCTTTCAAATTGGCTTTTTTCATGTAGTAATATGCATTTAGGTTTCCTCCATGTCTTTTCATGGCTTTATAGTTCGTTTCTTTTTAGCACTCAATAATACTCCATTATCTGAATGTATCACAGTTTATTTATCCTTTCACCTACTGAAGGATATCTTGGTTGCTTCAACGTTTTGACATGTATGACTAAAACTACTATAAGCATCTGTGTGCAGGTTTTTCTGTGAATGTAAGTTTTCAACCCATTTGGGTAAATACCAAGGAGCACAACTGCTGGATGGTATGGTAAGAGTATTTTAGTTTTCTAAGAACTGCCAAATTGTTTTCCAAAGTGGCTATATCATTTTTCACTCCCATCAGCAATGAATGAGAGTTTCTGTTGCCCCGCATACTCGCCAGTCGTTGGTACTGTACTACCCACATTTCAAGTACTTAACAGCCACGTTGGACAATCAGACACAGAATATGTCCATCATCACAGAAAGTTCTACTGGAAATGCTTCTCTATTTAAAACTTTAATTGGTTATACAGTCAGAGAAGAGGAACTAATGTGACAGCTATATTTTTTTCCCTGCATAAATCCATCTCTTCTCCCACCGGATTTTGATGGTTCTTTGTTTATATATATTTGCTCAAAACTTCAAATTCCTGCTCAGCCACTTCTTAACTATGTTCCCACTAACGTATTATTTAATGCTTCTGACTCTCAGTTTCTCATCCTAACTACTCAATAGTTTGGTGAAAGGATTAAATTAGATAAGCGAGGTAAGATAAATTATAACATTCACCATGTTAAGCCCTCATTTGTAAACTCTTCTGAGTTAGGAGTTTGTTTTTTGAATGTTTCAGTATGGTACTTTGAGGACCTTTACCAAAAGCAAAAGCTAAATATTTATTTACCCGATCTGGATTTTTGTAACCCAAAAGTAGATTTGCTGCTTTTATATCACCATGAACATATTCATTTTCATGTATATATTCCAGTACATCCAACTGTGAAAAGAAAAAGATAATATAAGGTTATACTGCTATCTATTTAGAACTCATGATCAACTTAAACATTCTGAATATAGAATAACATGGGATTTTATTTATATTAACAATGACAAAGTGATATATTTCACAATTACCAGTTTATTATTCTGTTCTAACATATCACATTTTCTAGTTGCTCATCCTGAAAAAAAGTTAAATAAAACGATCCTCGAATATCAAGTGTTTTAATTGAACCTCTGATGGAAGGAAACTAAGATTCAAAAATGCTTATGCCTTTGCTCCCGATAGCCCAGTGGCCAAACCACACTGTGCAAAGAGGAAAAATACAGCATAAAATCAGAGACCTACAGTGAAATAATCATGAAACCTACTTAGCAATTCCTCACCCAAACAATAATTATAAATCAAGTCTTGAGGACCTCAGAACAAAAGGCCATGTCCATGAGTACAAGGAAAGGCATTCTTCCTCTGTATAGTAATAGAAAACTCCTTAGTTTCATCTTAAAGCCCTTCAGCCTTGCGTGTTACATACACCTAGTGCTCAATAAAGATTTACTGGCTGGGTGGATGGATTAATGGATGAATAGGAAAATTAATGTGTTCTATTTGCCACATCCCAACCTGACATGAGTAGCTTCATTCTATTAAAAATGGAAAAAAATGGAAACTTTAGCAAACAAAACACAAACAAGATAAGACAAATATGTGATATAAACAAATGTGTGCATGGGTGCTATTAAGATTTCATTGCTTCTTATTTGGCAAAGTATATATTATTCATTGCCACAACTAATTATTGCCACCATTCCAGACTCACAATAAAAACTTTATAGTACCCCCAGACCATCACATTTAGTATGGAAAAAAAATATGTTTTGTCATGATTTTCATTGTTACAAATATAACTGACAAAAGAAAGGTTATTCTTATAGCAATGAAAGCTTGTTCTGGTATGTAGAACAGAGCTGTGAGGAAAAAAGGGATCAGACTGTAGAACCAATGCCTAATTGAGTTTGCAGTGCCAAACACAGCACATTCTGTCACTTACAGAGCCCACAGTTATCAATTTCACCAAAATACCCTCTACTCTCAATAACTGACATTTCTAGGGCAATAATCCTTCATTCTCTGATAATTCCACAAAGGGAAAATATTTGTCTATTGTAATAAGTAATTATTCTGAAAATGAAGCATGTGAAGTCAAGTCATTCCTTCTTACCATTCGGATACCTAGCTGCAGGACAGTTGACTTTTTCAAGGTACCATTCTGGTCTGAGATCTTCTGTAAATCTATTCCTAGTCTTTCCATTACCATAAATCTGTAACTATAAGAAAGAGACATCAAAAAGAGATCTTTCTGAAAAAGTAATGCTTAAAACTGTCTATTAATGAATTTGAAACAAGGAAAAATACTCCTGACCTAAACAACCAGGTATGATGCAATCTAAATATAGAGAATCAACATACATTAACAATCCTGCTATTCTTTTGCAGAAAGATATTACTATTTACTTTGCAGTTAGTTTTCTAGTAGAAGACAATGCTGTATGGACCATTCATTGTTTAAAAAGAATAGTCTTTTTAAATTAGATCGTGCTGAATTTAATTCATTTTTACTCCATCACCTTCTTGCCATATGGCCTTGAACAAATTATTTGCCCACACAGAACATTTTATTTGTATTTGTTTCTTGATCTTATAAGATCATATTTATTGCCTCTATACATTTATAAATATGTCTTTTTAAAGTACTCTTCTTTTTCCTTTCCGTTTGCCACCCTCCACCCTTTTAGATACCCACATCACCCCCACTATATTATTATCTATATTATGTATACACACACAAGAATTTTTATTTTACAAAAATGTGATCTTATCATATGCACTTTCTCCATCTTATTTTTTTCAATATCTCATTGAAATCCTTCCAAGTCAACTGGTGCAGCTCTAATTGATTTTTTTAATGGGCTGCATATTACATAACATGGATGTACCATGATTTAATCAGTCATTCAGTCCCCTACTGGCAGCCTTTTGCTTTGTTTCAAGATTATTGTTTGCTCATTTTGTTTTTATTTATAGCATTTAAAGACCATCTGAACAAAGTACTGATGTCTGAGCCTATTTTCTCACCTATGAAATAAAAACAATATTGCCTATCTTAAAAGGTCATTCAAAGGACAAAACAAGGTAACACATATAAAAAATCCCTGGCACAAAATGGATATGTAACAGATGAAGAGTTTTTTCTTTTTCAAATCACTATTAATGGATTCTTTATAATGTGATGACTAGCCATATTTGAGGGTTTAAGAGATATTTCTACAACTCTTTGTTGTGACCCAACTCAAGAGATGGAGTTTAATTAATTCTGCTCTTGAGTATGGGGTGGACCTAGTGACTTGCTTCTAGCAAAGAGAATACAGCAGAAGTGACGGGATATCACTTCTAAGATTAGATTATAAAAAGACTATGACTTCCTTCTTGGATGCACTCTCATGCACTCTCTTTCTCTCTTTCTTTCAATTACTTGCTCTAGGGAAAGCCAGCTGCCATTTTTTTTTTTTTTTTTTTAATAATACTCAGGTAGGTTATGCAGAGACACACATGGTCAGGAAGTATGGCCTGCCAACAACCACCTAAGTAAATTTAGAAGCAGATCTTCTTAGGTTTACCAATAGCCACATGAGTGACTTTGAAAAGAGATCCTTTCCCAGTTTATCCTTGAGATGACTGCAGCCCACCAGATATCTGACTACAGCCTCATGAGAGATCTTGAGCTAGAACCATCCAGATAAGCCACTTGCAGATTCCAGACCCAAAGAACTAAGACATTACTATGTAAGTTTGTTTTATAAGCTAATATGTTTTGGGTAATTTGTTATATAGCAATTGATAACGAATAGACCATATGAGAAATAGTAATAGAGCAATATTTGATTATAATTCCTTTTTACCTCCTTCCCTTGAATTCAGTCAGACCAGATCCATAAAATGTAGGAATTCCTAGATAATCAAGCTGTTTGAGTTCTACCCACTTTTTGACTGCAAAGATAAATTTAACAAAGACAACAACAAAAGAGATTCACGTTATTTAAAAAGATATTTTGCACCTTTGCATAGATACTAAGACTTATTTAGCTAACCACAATAATAATTAGACCTTCCTAGGAGGTAAAAATTTTTAAAATCAAATATACCTATCTAATGACCTCAAATTCTTTGTTATCACTATAATTAACAAAAAACATATACAGAAATTTTAACATTAAATCAATAATAAAAACAAAAGTCATAGTCTTATAAAATACATTGCTACCATACACACAAATATTTCTATTCATAAAAAATTCATTATTTTATATGCTAACTACATTTCTAAATATAACATATGTTAACTACCAAAGGATTAGTAGAGAGATGGCTTTTCTTCCCTATTACTTCAAAGTCTAAAGCCATAGTAGAGGAAGAAACAAAAATTGGGCTGAAAAATCATCTTACTCCGAAATTATGTTATACAGAAGTTATTTTGATTAAACTTAGTTTAAAAAATATCAAATCCACTTAAACAATAAGGTAGTGTAATCATTTTTTCACTTTTCTACCATATGTTTAATGTTTAAGACAGCTCTACTGATAAACAATCAAGTTTAATGGATTCTATTTGTCACTCTGACATAGTTTAAGCAGTTAGTAAAGACTACAGTCTTAATGCTTAGAAGGCTTTATTAAGGAAAACAAAGTTAATTATTGAGGCCAGACCCATCATTCTTTTTCCTAACCATGATGTAAAGGACCCTGACTAGTCATTACTCCTGTCTACTTCTTTAATGTTTTACCTAGCCCATGTATATCATAGAGTATTTAGAAGTATTTATAAAATGCTTTTATTCTTCCTCATCTCTCCTCATATTCATTTCACATTCAAATCTTCTAACATGATATTTCTTACATCTTATATCCAGCTTCAATTAATTTTCCAAAATTCAGGTTTCTAAAATTTTCTTAAACATCCTAATGTTTAATCATTTCCACACACCTTACTTTAATCCATTCTATAATCATTCCTTTTTATTTATACATATAGCTACTGACCATTTTAATGTCTTTTCCTTATAGCTTTTCTATACAATTGTTTTTTTGTAAAAGAAATAATTTTATTCTACTATCATTTACACTTAGATAACTCTCTGTAGCTTACATCAACAACCCAACCTTTTATATAAAGTAGTACAAACAACTTTGACTTAAAATATTTAACCCATTATGTATATCATATCAAGATTTGTATATCATCTGTCTTGCTTTCATATGTTACAACAGTTAACTATATCACTTTACAATAAAATTTCCTATTGAAAAGAATTTTCCAGAAGGCCAGAAAATGACCAAAATATCAACACTCACTTTAGCAAGCACATATATGAAAGTAGCTTGTTTTGCTAATTTTACTTACTACAGTCTTTTTTTGCAGCTCTCTGATAAAATTTAAGTTCTGAAAATAATGGGCCATTTTCTTGATATTCCTATGAAAGTAAAGAATAATTAATTTTATGGGGAAAAATGGAATTGGTATTTCAATTGTAAAAATGAGTATGCATGTATAATAGTTATTTGGATCATTTTTTATTAATATAAAATATGCACCAGATTTCCACTAAAAATCTCAGAAAACACTAAATAAACTGGAAGAATCTCATTCATTTATAAACAACATATCATTATAGTATTATCCCTATTCAGTTTTACACACAAAAATAATCTTCTTACGGAAAGCACTTACTAAAAACACTGAGAATTGTATATATAAACACAAGGACACTCACTGTATGCTAACATGTACATCAGGGGGATATATTGCAAACTATCCTTGTGGTTCATTCATTCAGGATACCTTTATTGAGTGGTCTACTATATTCCATTCATCATACTAGGCACAGGGAATATAATCAAAAATAAAACCCTATGCCTGTGTTTAAGGATCTTACCATTTAGAGTAGAAAAGTAGGAAGAGAGGGAGGGAGGGAGAAAGAGAAGATGACAACTAGATAAGATATCAGCATGATTGATGGCAATATAGAAGAACAATGGTTCTCCAGTCTTAACATTTTAATGATGTGAAAATATATCAGAACATTAGCTTTATCGATAAGTAAACATGATGTTATTAAATATGGAATGCCCGATTTTCCTAAGTACTAAGTTTGACAGTTGATATCTGACGTTTCACTTTGACACTTCTTGTTTTATTTTTATTGTGAATGTATATCCTCAGTCTTTCAAACACACATTTTGGATTGTGATTATCTTTCAAATTTTTTGTTAATTTTTGTGAAACCATGGATAAGTCAAAAATTTGTGTTATTTTCAAATATGAATTCTGTCTTGGAACCAACGCAGCCCAGACAGCTTGAGATATCAACGAAATGTTTGGGAAGGATGTGGCTAATGAACACACAGTGTTGATGGTTTGAGAAGTTCTGTTCTGGTGATTTTAATCCTGAAAATAAGCCATGTGGGCAACCTGAGACCAAGGTGGATAATGATGAGCTGAAAGCTGTAGTGGAAGTGAATCCATCTAAACCTATATGTGAATCAGCAGCAAGCTTTGACGTTACTATTCCAACAATATTGAACCATCTGAAACAAACTGGAAAAGTAAAAAAGCTGGATAGATGGATTCTGCATGAATGAAATGAGCATCAGCAGAGAAATCATCTCAAAGCCTGCCTTTCTTTGCTGTCATGACATAAAGGTGAACCATTTGTATACCATATTGTTACATGTGACAAAAAATGGATTATTTTTGACAATCTCAGGTGTTCAGCACAAAGGTTGGATAAAGATGAAGTGCTGAAACACAGTCCAAAATCGAATATTCATCAAAAAAAACTAATGGTGTCTGTTTGGTGGTCCAGCACTGGTATTATCCTCTACAGCTTCAAGAAACCTGGTCAACTGATCACAGTGGATGTCTACTGCAACCAAGTGGACTAAATGATGACTGCAACCAAGTGGACTGATGAGGATGCTGTGATGAAGCAGCCGAGATTGGTCAATAGAGACAGGCCTATCGGCTGCCAAGGCAATGCTCAACCACATGTCGCACAAACAACGCTGCTCAAATTACAGCAGCTGGACTTGGAGACTCTCTGTCACCCACCATATTCACCAGACCTTGCACCAACTGACTACCACTTCTTCGAGGCTTTGGGCCACTTATTTATTTATTTATTTATTTATTATTCCAGGGTTTTGTGAGGGTACAAACCTTGTAGCCACACTTTATGTCTTTGCCTCGCCCAAAGGCATACCCTTCCCT